CTGAGTGGTGCCGATCGCGGCCCCTGTGCGTGAGTCGCCTCCGCCCGTGCCCTCCTTGCGGCACCCCCAGGGGTCTCATTTGCTTCCGGTGCGGACTTGCTTCGGGCATCTCCCTCCAGAGGAGGAATGGTCAAGAATAGTCACGACAGAGTCGGGGGACGATTTGTTCGATTTTTTTTTTGCGGCTCTTCTGATTTTTTTTTGACTACTGTCAATGTTCCATCAAAAAGCCGCCTGTATCGGGCCGGACGAAAGGGGGAGATTGGGAACGGGGGGTTACGAAATTTGCTGCATGCAGCTGGTTTCAACTTCGCCGAGGTGCCCATTCCTCGACACATAGCCGCCTCCGGCGCCGGGAGGCGCCGGGAAGATCAGCTACGTGAGCTGATTCTCAAACCCCCCCTTTGCTATCCCCCCCTTTCGCCCGACCCGACTGCAGGAGGACGTGCCCGACCCGACATTGGCGCCGCCTCCTGGCCGGGCTCCCCCCGCGCGGGCCCGCGCGGCCGCGCGGGGTGCCTGCCTGGGCGCCCGCCTGCGCCCGCCTCGCCGCCCCGCCCGCCTCCGGCTCGCAGCCTCGCCCCAGCGGAGCCGACCCTCGGACCTACAAGCCTCGTCAACAATAAACAGAAACGCAGTTGGAAATCACGACGATCGATCTTCTCGGGCACTTGTTTGAAACTGCATTCTTCAATGCTGCGGAGGGGTCGTCGGATTTTTGAAGCCCTTACGTCCACGTCAGATATCTAGCGTCAGCATTGGAGTAGCGCTGACCATACAATCACCGAAAACATAATCCCTCAGTTTATTTTGTGACGAGGGTCGTAGGTTTATGTCGGGCAGGTCCCTCAACAGGAGGAATATTCAAACCTAGTAAAAGATAGCCTGGAGACGATTTGCCGATCCCTCTTGACCATGTTTTTTTTTACTACTTTACGATGTTCTTGCATAATCCGCCTATAGGAGGACATCCCTGACCCAACCTTAGGTTGACCGCCCAGCTTCTGTCAGCGAGTCGCACCCGTCCGCCCTTCCTGGCTGCGTCGGGCGTGGGCCTGCCCGCTCCCGGCGCTGGCTCCCGGCCGGGTCCTCCCGCGCGGGCCCCCGCTGCCCCGCGCTTGCTTGGCGCCGGCCCCATCGCCTGTTTTTCGCTCCGCGTGCCTTTGCATCGCAACTCCTCCCTACGGAGCCTGGTCTCGGCGTCAACCCAACATACTTCTACTATATGTGTGTCGCCCCCCCAGGGGCGACGCGCGCACCGAGAAATCTTATCGTATATGCGTCGTGGCGGGCGCTTTCTGGCCACACCGTTCGAGAAACGGTATACTACAAGATGGGTATACTATATGTTCGGGTCGGACGCGCACCTCCGAGGCGGACATATAGTATTAGCATGTCTCAGTGCGTCCCATGGTCGCCATGCCTGGTTGGATGGAGCCCTTTTGGCGCCCCTCCGTGCGATCGCCTGGCTTCTTGTGCGGCCGCCTGCAGATCACTTATGGCGACGCCCCTGGTGCGTCCGCGCTGCGCGCCCTCCTCTGGACGCCTCCTGCTTTGCCGTGGCTGATCCCCTGTGGCCCTCCGCGGCGATCGCCCGGCCTCTGCGTGCTCGTCTTTTTCCATTGGATGCGCTCCCGCTCCCGCTCCACCACGGCGCCCCTCCACAGGCCGCTCGCCGCTCTTGGCGCGGAACTGCCCGCGCGCCTGTCGGCGGCTACGGCCCCCCACCCCGCGCGAGGCTTCGTGTTTGACTGCGGCCCGCCGCTTCGCCCCTGCGGTGACCGTCCCGCGTTGCTCCCCCCTGGCTCGGCTCGACCCCCTGGGTGGACCCTCAGCGGTAGTCGCCTACATGATTAGCCCGCGACCGCTGTCGCCCGCTGGGTGCCACCGTGGCGCGTCTTCTCCCCGAGGGCCTGTCGCGCAGCTTTGCCTCTCGGCCAGCGACGCCTTGACTCCCCTACGGCGCTCGGCGCCCCTGGCTCTCTCCCCCGCCGCACCGGCCTCCTGGCCTGGAGTCTTGGCATGGCGCTCTCGTGGCGACCCCACTCCACCGAGCGACGCCCTTGTTCGGTGCCCGCCGTGCAGGCTCCCTGCTCGTTCGCGGGGGGCCGCTCCGCCCCCGACCCTGGCGCTCCCGTCTCCCGGCGCCCGCCTTCGCCCCGCCCGCCTCGCCGCTCCCGCCCCCCGCGGGCCTGGCCTCCTGACCCCGCGCGCCAGGCCTGGCCCCCCTCTCGCCCGCTTCCGCTCCTCCTCTGCCGCCGCCGCCCCCGCCTCGCCGCAGCTCCGGCGTGGCTCCGCTGCCCTGTCCTGGCGCTCGCGGGCGGCGGCCTCCGCCGCCCCCCCCCCCCAGCCCGCCCAATTTTTTTTGCGCGGCGCTCGCACGCCCGCTGCTGCTGGCCCGCCCGGCGCCTGTCCCGCTGCCCCGCTGCCCCGCCGGACCGCCTGGCGCCTCCTCGCTGCCTCGCCCCCGCTGCCCCAGCGCCGCCGGCGCCTCGCGCCCTGCCGCTGCCCCGTGAGGGGCCGGCCCTTCTCCTTTTCTTTCCCTTCCTTTCCTCCGCCGTGCGTCCAGCGGCGACTCGTTTCGACGCCATGCATGGCGGTGCTTGTGTGCGTGTGTGCGCGTGTGTGTGTGTGTGTGTGTGTGTGTGTGTGTGTGTGTGTGTGTGTGTGCGTGTGCGTGTGCGTGTGCGTGTGCGTGTGCGTGTGCGTGTGCGTGTGTGTGTGTGTGTGTGTGTGTGTGTGTGTGTGTGTGTGTGAGAGTAGGGCCGCCCCCGCTGCGGCCCCTGTGCTGCCGCTGCGGTCCCACCCCAGTGCGCCCGCGGTTTCAGGGCCACTCCACCGCTCGCCGCCCTTTGCCCGTCTCCGCTTCCCTCTCCCCTCCCCCCTCCCCGCCCTGGCCCTCCCTTCTCTGGGGGCCGGCCCAGGCCGCTCCTTCAGGGACCGCCCTCGGTCGCCGCCGTTTCGGGCGCGCCGCTCGGCCCGGCCAGCTTTCGTGGCTCCTTGGGCCTGCGACCTTTTGCGGCCCCGCTGCCTTCAGTTTGCTTTCGCCGTCGCTCCTTGGCGCGCCCCTTTATCGGTCCATTCACGGTTGCTCGCTGTCCCCGCCTTCTAGTCCCGGTCGGCTTATGTCATCTTCCATCTTCGCCGTAGGTTCGTCCGCTCAGTGCCCTCCCCGCCATACAGGCCCTGATGATAATGGCTGCCGCCCGTTGCGAGACCCAAAGTGGTCTTTGAGAGTTCGGCCGGGCGTAGACGCGCGCGTTCCGCCGCTTGCACTCGATTTTATACGCCCCCTCGCTGCGCGTGGGGCCGCGACGCCAAAAGAGTGTGTGTGTGTGTGCGTGTGTGCGTGTGTACAGTGCTTACTAGCCCCCCCCCGCCATCCAATCCCGCATGGTTTTAGGTACCGCACCCAACTCTCGTCCCCCACTGCCTTTCCCGTCATCCTCGCCTATATGGCTTATGGCGGCGGGTGTTGTTGGACCCGCGGTGGTCTTTGAGGGCCTGAGTTCTTAGGCGCGCGAGCGATTGTTGTTCCATGACTTTCTCCGCCCCGTCGCTGCGCGAAGGGCTGCGTAAGTGTAAATGCAAGTGTACGTGTAAGTGTGTGCATGTATATGTAAGTGTCCATGTAAGTGTAGTTGTAAGTGTATGTGTACGTGTACGTGTACGGGCAAGTGTAAATGTAAGTGTAAATCTACTTGTAGCAATGCGTGTAATTGTATGTGTAAATTGTGAGTGTAAGTGTAAGTGTAGTTGTGAGTGTGTGTGTGTGGCTGTGCTGCTTGTGCGCGCGTGCGTGCATTTGTGTGCAATTGTACGGGAAAGTGTAAATGCAATGTGATTGTGCTTGTGCGTGTAAAAAATAGGTGTACGTGTACGTGTACATACGTGTAAGAGGAGACACACGTATATATGTCAGTGTAAGAGCAAGAATCCGTGTACGTGTAATTGTAAATGTAAGTGGCAATGTGGCTGTGATTGTGTGTGCGTGTGTGTCATTTTTGGCTGGCAGTTGCCGGCTGCTTTGGTTTGGCATTGTCGATTTACCTTGTTTCCCCCCGTCCTTTTCCCCTTTTCCCCGTCTGTCCCCTCACGGCTGCCCCCCTGTGATTGTCGCTGTCGATCTCCAATGGGCGGATCCAGCTTCCTCTCACCGCGTGAGCCGGGCCGGTGTGCGCGCTTGCCGGACATATTCTACCCCGCGCCGCCGCGCGCGTGGCCGCGACGCCGACAGGTGTGTGCGTGTGTGTGTGGGTGTGTGGGTCTTGGGACCAATCTTGGACATTCTCATCGTCATAGTCTTGATCCTACGCATAGCGGGTGGGTTTTGATCTTTGGCCTTATCCCCCGACACAACGCTGGCTGGCCCATTGGCAGGTTGGAGTAATTGATGCTGTTATGCTGGTCGACGAGCGGTTGGCGCGTGTGGTCAGGGGCGCTCGCGGTGGCGCCTGCGTTGCAGGGACCGTGGCCCGGCGGGTGTCGCAGAACTGGAAAGCATTCTTGTGTCGGCCGGTCCGGCCAGGCCATCGGCAGGCCGTGGGCGCAGGTGCGTCAAAACCGACTTGGCGCCAGTCTGGCAGTTTGGTTCGAGCGGGCTCCCACGGGATTGTTTTTTTTAGTGTGCTTGTTGTTATTATGCTTGTTCTTCTTCTTCTTCTTCTTCTTCTCCGTCCTAATATTCTTCTGCTTCGTAGTGTTATTATTTTTATTCCTCCTCTTTCTCCTCCTTCCCCTTCTTCGGATCATTCTTAGTCTTCTTCCACATCTTCATGCTTTGTTCGTCCCGTTTCTACTTCTCCCCTTCCTGCTCCTTTTTTTTCCTTACCTTCATGCTGACGATGACGATGGTCATTATGATGACGGTCATGATGACGATGATGATGATTCATGATAATCATCCCTCCTTCCACTTCTCGCTCCTTCTTTCCTTCCCTCCCTTTTGCTTCTGCTTCCTCTTCCTGGGCGCCCAGAGCCTCCGTCGCGCCCATTCCCAGATTGCCGCTGGGGACTGCGGGTCCGGCCTGCAGTTCCGGGCGTCGGCGGTGGACGTGCCAGAGTTCACGCGGAAGGCTCGCCTCGCTTGCTTGTTTGTGTCTTCAGGAGGAGGAGGAGGAGGAGGAGGAGGAGGAGGAGGAG